CTTTCAGCAGTGATGTCTCTAGTTCCATGGCCTCTTATGAATCCAGCTTGAATTTCTGGCAGCTCTCTGTCAATAGGCTGCTGCACCATTTTTGAATCGTTTTTATCAAAATTTTACTTGCATGTGAGATTAATGATACTGTTCAATGAGTCTGCATTCCATTTTTGAAATGGGCACAAATATGGACCTCTTCAAATCATTTGGCCAGGTAGCTAGCTGTCTTTCATATTCTTGCCATAGATGAGTGAGGGTCTCCAGCACTGCATCGGTTTGTTGAACCATTTCACATTGTATTCCGTTGAGTCACTTCTGACTCATAGCAACCTTGCATAGGGTTTCCAAGGAGTGGCTGGTGGATTTGAACTTCCAGCTTTGCACTTAGCAGTCCAGTGCTTATACTGCAGTGCCACACCAGGACTCCATTACTGGCATAGAGGCTAGGATTTGCAATGTATCACAGAATGAAACAGTATGGCTAGAATGACCATAATAAATAATTAGCTGCTGTACAGAAAATAAGAATGGAATAGTGTTTTTAGTAAGGTTGGGAAAGAACTACAGAAAAAAGGAAGTTAGGTAAAGTGTGGTATGCTTAGCAGTTGATCTCAGAATTTGTTGATTACTAAATTTCATGCTTATGCCCTATGACAAATCACTGTATATTCCCTCACTTTGAAGACCAGTCAAATAAAGAAGCTGCCTCTTCTGCTCATGACAATTAGGCTATGTGGCTTTAGGCAGAATAAATTACAAAGAAAGAAAACTTCATCCTTATCACTCCTGAGGGGAGGTGAAGAAAGTTGGGAATGAGGAGAGGAATGATTGTTTCTCATCAGAGTGATTTGTCCTGATTTGAGACGTAGGAGAGCACAGGGGCAGAGGTACTTCTGTTCTATTAGTCATGTTTGTTGTTGTTAAGTGCTGTCAAATTGGTGCCAACTCACAGAGACCCTGCATAAAGATTCTGAGGTGTGGCTGGTGGGTTTAAGCCACTTACCTTATAGTTAGAAGTCCAGTGTTTGTCCTGCAGTGCCCTACCAGGTTCATGGTGGTGGTGGTTATGTGCTGTGGAGTCAGTTCCAACTCATAGAGACCCTGTACAGGGTTTCTGAGGCTGTAAATCATTACGGGAGCAGAAAGCCTCATCTTTCTCCTGCGGAACAGCTGGTAGTTTTGAACTGCTGACCCTGAGGTTAGCAGCCCAATTTGTAACCACTACGCTACCAGATCTCCTTCACCAGGTTCATAAACACTGTCTATAAAGAGAAGATCTCTTGCTGGGATTTAGTTACTTATCGGCTGCAAAGGAATCCATCACTTGGAAGGTAGCTGAGTTGTGAGGTAGAGCAAAGATGGAGGTGGGTTTCCTGGGCAGGGGGATTAAATAGAGGAAGTGGCAGGCCTTCAAGGGATTCTGTATTTCTAGAGTAAGCATGAGGTTACAGGCCAATCAAATTGAGAGAGACCAAATTACAGGTTACACCAGTCTTGAGCATTTGCGATCAGAAGCACATGCAGAGAGGTCATTGCAAAGACCTGAATGTCCCTTAGCCCTTTTCTTCCATATTATCAGGCGCCATGTGAGCTAGGAATGAGAGGGGACAGGAATGGGAAAGACTGGGCAGTTGTCCTATACTGTTTATATGACAGAACCAAGTTTTCAACTGACTAGTGCTAAAAATTTATTTCCTTCCCTTAAACCCACTACCTTCTCCTGAGAAACCCTATACAATGTTTCTATGAGTCAAAACTGACTCAACGGTACTTAACAACCACAACAACCTGTAGTATGGGGCTAGGGAAGGGGATTTGGGTGTTTGGCAGGTGGTGGTTTGTGAAGAAGATAGAACAGTTATTACTGTTTTTTGCAGCTTCCTTCCTATTGGTTCAAAAGAAAATGCATTCAGCAGTTGGTCTTTGTGGTTTGGGGGTTGAGGATATTTCTACATTTCACTGAAGAAGAAACCTTCTTTATTTTTTGTACTTTAGGTTGTTTTTAGATGGTTTCCTAGTGAGGAATACTTCCCGTCCCATTCATCTAGAGATCTCTTACCTTCTTGCTTTCAGTAGTATTGTTAAAGCTCTGCACGTCTTTGCTGATGTGCAGTTATATTGTTCAGTGCCGTCAAATTGGTTCTGACTCATAGTGATCCTGTATAGGGTTTCCAAGGCGTGGTTGGTGGTTTTGAACCGCCAGTTTTGAGGTCAGCAGTTTTGTGCTTATCTTATAGCACCACAGGAGGACTCCAGCTACATTAGTGCATAATATTCTTTTTCTATAAAAACTGTTTTAAAAATGTGCTTAGATGCAAAAATACTCTTAACCGTTTATATTTTTGTGACAACATAATGCTACATAAAAATTTCCTTTTCACAGGAACCTGCTGAAGTTCCAATTTATTTCACATGATAAATAATAGCCTGTTTGTATTCTTATAAGTAGAAGTTTAATTTATTTTCTTTGCGTATTTTGTTTTTTTCTCAGGTGCACCTTCAGTTGAATTTTTAGACTCTCCAGTTACATCCATAGACCACCCGTTTGTAAAAGCATTTCAAGCATCATCCAGTTCTTCAAAAGCAAAACTGACCGATGGTATGAAATCGATGAAATATTTCTGAACAGAGTAAATAACACATTAGGCCTTTGATTCATTTTCTGTTTCTTTCTTTTCTTCTAATGTCACTTTCCAATATCCAATTTGATTTCAAGTGTATCTTAATCATTTTACTTTTTTCTGTATTGGCTGGACATTGAGCAAAAGTAAGTGATTTCATTTGGTATTGGGGAATATAGCTAAATCTGAGAATTAAGAGGATTCTGATAATGTGATAATTTATTTATTTATTTTTAAAGTTTTTATTGTGATGTTTACATGGGAGAACATCAGCTTTACACTCATCCTGTTGTATTTCGTTTCACTGCCATGATTAACATTCCTTTCAAGCATCATCAAATAACCAAAGGGTACACCACACAGGCCCACCCCCCGGCCGCCAGCAAACATCCCTTTTCCCTCCCTGAGTCCAGTGTCTGAAGTCACTCTATCTGTCCACGTCATCGTTTCCGTCTCCATTCCTGGCATCACTGCCATTTTTAGTCCCTCTTCCCCTTATCAGTGACCAATGTGGTCTCTGGCCAGACCACATGCCTGCTCGTGTATTCCCCATGAAACCAGTCTTGGAAAGGAGTTTGCTTGAGGGGACCCGACCACTTGCCTTAATGACTCCTAGGCAAACAGCTTACTTAATCAATCAGACTGCCGTTATTGTTTCGGATTTTTCCTGCCGGTATTTCTTTCACGAAGTTATCTTCTGTTCTTTTAGCCTCTCCAGGCTGGTCTACTTGTCTTTTCCAGTGGAAATTTCCTGCCTCAGTCGATTCTGGATGGGGTTCTAGATTCCACCTATGGTCTT